CCAGGCCAAGGACCAGAGGGAAGGTAGTGAGAGGCTCCAGGGATACTCTGGGGCAGACTGAAAACAGAAAGCCCCAGAGACCTCTGCTTTTATACTCAGTCTTCAAGGAAAGAAAGAAACAGCGACAGAGAGTAGGGTGGCAGCATTAGAAAACACCAGTGCTGGAGGTGTCTGTGGACTGTGGCCAACCATCAGTCGGCGAGGGCACTACGGAAAAACCTTCCCGGAGCCTGTCTCATTTCACCTTGGCAGTGACCCTGGCAGTGTCTTCACTGAGTAAGAAAACTAAACCGGAGAGGTTGAGGACCTCTCTCCAGCAAGGCAGACTTCACCATGCACTTCACAGCACACCAGCCCAGCCTTCCCAAGAGAGGGAAAGGCTGACAACAGAGAAATTACTGCTGGTGGGAAGCCCCTGGGACACCTGCCACTGGAGCTGTTGTTTTTCTTTTGCCTCTGTTCCAATTCGGGTGCCTCCCTAGATGCCCCATGATTGCTCAAAGGGATTGCTTTCAAGTTCAGAGTAACCAAGAAGAGCAGTGGAAGAAGGTTCTGTGGTCTCCACTGTCGAGACCACACTGTGACACAAACATGCGCTTGGAGTCTACACTGTGCAGGCAAAGAGTCATGCTGACTCAGTCCTGTGAAGATGGCTAAGATGCTCTTCTCTGTAATGAAGAGTTCCAGCAAATCAAATGCTGCCTGTGCATCTTTTTCTCTTTTAAAGTCAGGGTCTTATGTAGCCCAGGCTAGCCCTGAACTACTGACCAGAGGATGGCCTTGAAGTCCTGTCCCAGGTGCTTCCCTTGGGTGTTTTGTAGAGTAAATGTGATAGTTTCAGTTAAGGGAGAAAGGGACGGATCACCCAGTGGCATCAGGTACAAGGGCTGGTCAGCTAGTGGCCAGGCAACAGCCACTGCCTCTGCTGATGTGCCCTGAGTAGTGAAGAGGCCGTTTGGGTGGCCGGGAAACCCAGCACCCTCCCCAGGCGCTGAAGCACATTTAATAACAGCAGTGATCGCCCTGTGACTTTTCTCTGTGGTGGTGACCTGAGCGAATCAGCTGAGAACATTCTGAGTGTCTGCAAAGCTGTGAAACTGAAGTGCACCTAGGCGTCACCGTCACACCCCTGACACCCCCACCCCCTCCTCCGGCAGCTGCCTCCCAGGATGCTCGCCTACAGCTATCTTGTGGTCCCTCTCCATCCAGTGCCTACTATGGTTTTCAGTGTCTCTGAGTTAAAGGCTTGGTCCCCAAAGTGGAACAGCTACAGGGACAGGAGGACCTAGCAGAAAGGACTCAGGTAGTGGGGTGGGGAGAGTCTCCTGCAAAGGGAACTATGATATGAGACCTGCCTCACAGAATGGGGTTCTACCACACCCGCCTGCCATGAATTGCTGTCTGGCCGGAGAACTAGAGTCCCAGGGCCACCTGATCTGGGATGGAAATCTCCAGAACCATAAGCCAGAATAACCCCTTGCACACATTATCCATGCCTCAGCTATTTCAATATAACACCACAAAACTGACTTAACATGGATCCTTCACCTTCTGTCCCCAACAATTCTGCTCCCATCAGTTTGATAACAAAAGGAATCTCACTGTGCATCTAAGTAGAATATCTCCCCCTTTAAAAAGATTTGTGCTCAGCTTTTTTGTTTGTTTGTTTTTGTTTTTTGAGACAGGGTTTTTCTGTAGCTTTGGAGCCTGTCCTGGAACTAGACCAGGCTGGTTTTGAACTCACAGAGATCCGCCCACCTCTGCCTCTAGAGTGCTGGGATTAAAGGTGAGTTACCACCGCCTAGCAGCACTTTTTTTAATGACATACAAGTAAGACACTAATAGGTAAGTTCTAGGGGTCTGTGGTTTTTGTTTTGTTTTTGGTGTGCTTTATTCATTTGTTGGCATAAGAGTACATACCTACAATCTCAGTTTGGAAGCTTAGGTAGGAGGATGATGAGTGCCAGGCCAGTCTGGACTATACAGACTCAAGAAAACAAAACAAATTGAGCAAAATGTGGGTTACCAACCAAGTGGAAAACTGACACTTGATACACCCAATCCACAAACCCCGTGAGCAGACACTGGGGACCCATCCATCAGAGAGCACATCAGTCTATTTATGCAGAGATATAGAAATATGCATTATATGGGGCTGGAGAAATGGCTAGAGAGCAGTTAAAAGCACTGACTGTACTTCCAGAGGACCCAGGTTCGATTCCCAGTGCCCACATGGTGGCTCACAACTGTAACTCCAGGATCCAACACGCTCACACAGGCATTGTATAAAAATTAGAAAGTGAGCCGGGCGGTGGTGGCGCACGCCTTTAATCCCAGCACTTGGGAGGCAGAGGCAGGCGGATCTTTGTGAGTTCGAGACCAGCCTGGTCTACAAGAGCTAGTTCCAGGACAGGCTCCAAAACCACAGAGAAACCCTGTCTCGAAAAACCAAGAAAAAAAAAATTAGAAAGTGATCTTGAGGAACGATGACACTGGGAATCCTAACATTATGTTTGATTTTACTAGACCTTGATACTGTATACAGAATAAAACCCAAGGAAAACTCAGGCCAGTGAGATGGCTTAGCAGATAAAGGAGCACGCTGCCAAGGTTGACGACCTGAGTTCAACCCCACAAACCCAGGAGGTAGAAGGGAAAAAAAGACTCTCAAAAGTTGTCCTCTGGTTTCCACATGAGCTACGCTGCACACGCACGTGTGCGCACACACACATACACACACACAAAGTAAATGCAAAGAACATCTTTTTAAGGCAAACTAACATGGGTTTGACATATGGTCCAGATCTAACTCTACACCCAAGGGAGTTCCTTTAAGAATCTGCCTCAGAGCCAGGCGGTGGTGGCGCACGTCTTTAATCTCAGCACTGGGAGGCAGAGGCAGGTGGATCTCTGTGAATTCGAGGCCAGCCTGGTCTACAAGAACTAGTTCCAGGATAGGCTCCAAAGCTACAGAGAAACCCTGTCTTGAAAAACTACTGAGAGTTGGTTCAGCAGTTAAGAGAACCCTGGTTCAATTCCCAGCACCCACAGGGCAGCTCATAACCGTCTGTAACTCCAACATCGGACACCCTCTCACAGACGTGCACGCAGGCAGAGCACTAATGCACATAAAATCTTAAAACATCTGCCTCAGTCTCACAGCTCCAAGAAGACAGGGGAAAGTGTCAAGATTTAGCTTTGTCGCAAAAGCTAGATCTTGAAGGAACACACTCAGATTAGGATTGATGAGTGTAAACCAAAACCCACTTTTAAAGCTTGAAACACACAGCTACCATTAGCTCTAAGCGCCTAAGTGATGACACTGCCATCAGAATATTTTCCTGCCCCCCCATTACCACCTGCCACATATTTCCATTCATTAGTCACTGCTCAGTGGATCGAAACATGCCCTTTTCTGTCTAGACTGGAACATTTCCCAGCATCTTCATCACGTTCACAAAGAGAGTTTGTTGTCTGAATAGATGGCTAAGTGGTGTGCTCACACAGGCTAACAATTTCTCTTTGTCAATTGTCCATTTTCTAATTACTTGTTTTATACTACCTAATGTTGCAATGTTAGCTCTGCGGCCTGGTGGCATGTTGATAATCCCAGCAGCTGGGAAGCTGAGGCAGGACGGTGATGAGTTCTAGTAATGTAAATTTCTGCTATGTAGCCTCCTTAAGGAAAAACATACATATGGAATATATATGGCTAGGAATATACTTTACTAAGTATCCATTAACCTGTTCACTCCTTAATGGCTCAGTATGATTTTCAAATTTTAAAAAAGCCCTATTTTTTTAAAGACTTATTTATTATGTATACAGTGTTCTGTCTGTATGTATGCTTGCTGACCAGAAGGGGCACCAGATTTCATTATAGATGGCTGTGAGCCACCATGTGGTTGCTGGGAATTGAACTCAGGACCTCTGGAAGAGCAGGCAGTGCTCTTAACCTCTAAGCCATCTCTCCAGCCCCAAAAAGCCCTATTTTTAACCACAGCATTTTTATACCATTTGAAAGAGACTTCCGTAGCTTACTTTTTTCTATAGTAAAATCTTTCACCATGTGCCTAGCCGGCTCGCGTGACTCATGTTTGAAAGTTACAGACGCCAGGGTCCCTCGATCCTCCACTGCACGGTCTCCGAGCAGCATTCCCAATTAAAGGATAGCGGTATAAATAGCTGCACCCTTGTTTTCGGGTTTTTAATGAGGAGCTGCACTCCGCAGGCACCCAATAAACACTAATTGGAGGAACTCAGGCAACCGCGGAAGCAGCCCCAGGGCCGATAGTCAGCCAACCCTTGCGCCCAGAGTCCAGGATCGCCACCCGCGAGCGAGTGTGAACAACAGCGGCTCTGATACCTGCGTCCCGACGGAAACCTGCTCAGCTCCGTTTGCTCCAGGCCACGCCCACCCGCCCCAGGCGTCCACCGGCCCCAGGCCCGGCTCTAACCCCAGGTCCCACACCTTAGTTCCAGGCGTGGCTTTCAGCTGCCAATCACAGATAGGCCGGGCCGTGGCCAGCCCAGGCAAGGTGTTCAGTCGAGGTTTGCCTCCGGTGTCCGTGTTACTGAAGCGTGATCTCTGGCGCGGCCGCCTCGGACGACCATCACAGCCAAGCCTCGCACCTCATGGGCAGGCCCGGCCTCATCTACACCCCAGCGTTCGCAGCAGCAACGGCGATCACCTCCAGGCCCCGCCCATTCCTGGCTGGCTCAGGTACCAACCTCAGCACCAGCCGCCTAAGGCGGCGTTCCCGGTCAGACCCACCCCTGTGCTACGCAGGCTCCGCCCCGGAGTTCAGGACTCGCCCACTCTCGGCTAGCTCTTGAGACAGTGGCCTATCAGGCTCGCCCTATCCAGGCGCAGGCCCCGCCCCTGGGCCAAGGCCCCGCCCCATCCCGGGCACCCGCCGCTCGAGACGAGACAGCGGTCTCAGTGAGGCCCCGCCGCGTCCAGGCGCAGGCCCCGCCCCGCCGCACAGGTCCCGCCCTCAGTGCTCGCCGCGCTCGGCAGCGGGTGGGACGCGGCCGCCGCTCGCCTGTCCTTTGTGCTTGGGTAGTGGCGGACTCACAGGCCTTCGGCCCAAACGTTCCTCTCGCCGGTCCGAGTCGCGCGCGCGGGCGCGCTTGCCAGCGACCCATCATGTCGGCGGGCGCGGGCGTGGAGGCAGGCTTCTCCAGCGAGGAGCTGCTGTCGCTCCGCTTCCCGCTGCACCGCGCCTGCCGCGACGGGGACCTGGTCGCACTCTGCTCGCTGCTGCCGCACACGCCTCGCGCTCACCTGGCCGCCGAGGACTCCTTCTACGGCTGGACGCCGGTACACTGGGCCGCGCACTTCGGAAAGGTGGGCGCGGGCACTTTAAGGCGCCATTTTCCGCGTGGTTTTCCTTGAGGGTCAGCGTGCACCCAACCGTGCCTGGAGAGCGCGGCAAAAGCTCCTTCCTCCCCCCCCCCCCAGGGTTCCAGGGCGCATGTGCGGCAGAACGCGGTCCGCGACTCAGCGGGTGGGGGCGCGGAATCTTCGCCGGCCCGACCGGCGCCTCGAGGGGGTCCACGGCGCATGTGCGGCGCCGCGCGCGACCGGGGACCTCGGGGGGCGCGGGGAGTGCTGGGAGGGCGGAAAGGAAGCGGGGTGGGCCTAACCTGGCGCCCCGGAGGGCCCAGGGCGCATGTGCACCGCTCAGAGAGGGGGTGATGTAGGCCGCAGTTGTGGGCGGTTGGCGCCGAGTCCGCCCCGTCTTCGGGCGACGGTGTAGACGGTTCCCGCTCAGGAGGAGGGAACGGAAAGCGGCGCGGGCCCGTGTAATGGAAATCCCCGGGGGCAGAGCGCCTTTAAAGCTGGAAGGGATGGGCGCTGCCCTCCTCGTAGTCGTTGGGTGTCAGGTCTGCACCTGATGGGACCGCAGGCGGGATCCCGACCGGGGCCGCCCTCCTGGCCTGGGAAGGATGGCTTACAGTCCTGGCGAGCCTCGGTGCTGGTGGTCGCTGGGAATCCACCGGCTGGGCGTCTCCATAGTTACCGGCCCAAGCGGCCGACTTCCCGGTCTACCCCCTTACCCCAGTGTAAAATAAAAACTGAAAGACATTTTTCACTTCCACCGAGGACGAGGTGTAGACTTGGCTGTAGAGACCAGTATGGTAGCTGAGGCGTCTTACAAACCTCGATAGTCTCACGATGTGGAACCATCTTGGAAACCCGTTCTAACTAGAAAGGAAAGCTCTTGAGATCGCAGAGGCCTAGCCTCCTTCCCCAGCCTGTTGTCTCCCTTTCTGAAGGTTTCCAGTATGTTTTCCTTAGGATGTACCAATGATGCTGAAGTTACCCAGTCGTTTATGAGGGTTATTTATTCCCGGAAGACTGGCCATTATTAAGGCTAATTATACCTTGCTTTTACAAAATGACCCATTTGAAAGTACTTTCCAGAATTCCAAACCCAGTTTCCGCGGTGGAACATGGCCTAGCTAACAAGTTCAAGTCCTGGGAACTCTCTCCGTGTTAAACGTTAATTAAAAGCTTTTCATTTGACACCTATTTATCTTACCACTGGTTTGTACTTTTATTTTTCCCTTGGGAAATTAAAGGACCTCTTCACCAGGCATTACTTTCCACCTCTGTCAAACACTGTTGTGTTTAAATCTGTTCACTGCCTGCTGTGCAAACTTTGTAGCCTGCCAATCAATAAAGCTCAGAGTGTTTATTGAAGTGATCTGTCCTTTATAAGGACAAGCTTACTAGCATGTGCTTTAATCGTAGCACTGGGAAGGCAGAGGCAGGCGGGTCTCTGAGTTCAAGGCCATCCTGGTCTACAGCTAGTTCCAGGACAGGCTTCAAAGCTACAGAGAAACCCTGTCTCGAAAAACCAAAAAAGAAAAAAAAAAAAAAAAAGACAAGCTTAAATTGCTTACAGTGACAGAGAAGGAGACCCAGGGTCCTGTTTGCTCTTGGTATTGCTTGCTACCAGGCACAGCTTCTTCACGGCCCTGTGGTCAGTTGAGGAGAAACAAGCAGTCCAAAACTGGAGAACAAGTAGGTCCCAAAAATTTCCTGACCACATGGCAGGCACTTGCTGGAGTCATAACCAGTTATAACTGTGTCTTGTCTCTGCTTGCTAGTCTTTCAGTTAGTCACCTGCTGGGTGAGCTCAGCTGTGGTGTGACTTTTTTTAAAGACTGAGAAGGTGATGGGGAATCAGCTTTGGGGGGCATTCAGTGTAGAATGGTTGTTTGTGCACCATACGGAAAAGTCTGACTGTAAAGAGTTTACTATACTTAAACATTTTTTGTGGCCTGCCAATTAGTAACATTTTTATCCTGTGTGAAAGTCTTGATAGAAGTTTTAGAATAATTCACTCTTAGCTTAAATGTCTTAAAATTTTTGCATAGTGTTGGGAAGAGATTAACGTATTGTCAGAAGGAAAAATAATGGTGACAAAAATGCCACCACTGGTGACCGTTATGGAATTTAGAGTGTGTCCTCTTAGTTGCTATACTGACACGTCCTGTTTTTGTCCTCCCGCCTGTTTAAAGTTGGAGTGCTTAATCCAGTTGGTAAGAGCAGGCGCCTCACTGAATGTCTCCACCACCCGCTATGCCCAGACCCCAGCCCACATCGCTGCTTTTGGAGGACATCCTCAGTGTCTGGTCTGGCTCATTCAAGCCGGGGCCGACATCAACAAACCGGTAAGAAGACCTGATTGACACTGCCTTTTTTGACTTTTCCAGCTACAGTTACTCACAGGATACTGTTTTAATTCAAGGCCTTAATTACAGATTGATGTCTTTACCTGAGGCGAACTGGAATTTGTTCCTTCAGTTACTTGTGGATAATATGCCCTTTCCTTCTGAGGCATGCACCCAGTTTGTAGAGTGCTTTTACCTGTTATGTGACTCACCCAGATCTGGTCCGATGATCTGCCCAAGGTCACAGCTGATAATAGGAGGCTTTTGGCCCACAGCCCGGATTTCCTGGCACCCACTCACTGCTGTCTTAACTTCATAGATACAGCAGAAACACATCCAAACTACCAAAAGGATGGCTTTTATTGGCTTCAAAGTGGGTTTACCCTCCAGGGACGAGTTGGGGGGGGGGGTGATAGGTGTAGAAACATCACTTTAAATGTCATTTACTTAGTGGGAAGCATGAGTGGCTGAGAAACTGGTATTTAAGGGTGCAGACGAGAGGATATATGAGCCAGAATTTTTATGATGTGTTTTAAGTATGTTTACATTATTAACCTATAGTAGAGAAACATCCAGTTAGATGGTTTGAAATGGAGTAGAGAGCCCAGCTCAAAGGGTGGATTACATACTGGCAGCTCTGGTAGCTATGTTATGCGCCTTTTCATTTTCCATGTGCTTTTCTTTTTTAAGAAAGAATTATGTGGGTATGTGCACCTGTTTGCTGAGACCAGTGTTGGCTCCTCTCAGAGCTAGACTTAGCCGTGGTTGTAAGCCACCTGATACGGGTGCTGGGAATGGAACTCGGGTCCTCTGGGTAAGCAGTCATGCTCTTAACTGATGTGCCAACTTTCCCGTCCCTTATGTGTTTTCTTATCCCATCAGCATCCTGTGTGCAAAGGATCTTCAATTCCTCCTCCTTTTCTCTTTGCTGAGGTTTTGGCCTTGGTTATAACAGCTGTAAAGCAGTGTGGTTCCTTCCTGAGATAAGTTAGCTGCCCACATGAAATGGCAAGTGTTTTTGGTCCTGGGTCGGAACGAAGACAGTAGGAGAGGGGTGCAGGGTGTGTTGTGCAGCTTTTTGTCATTGAGACATGAGTAGAGACAGCTTTAGATCCTTACATGCTCTCTTCTCTTACATGAATTTCCTCCTTTGCACCCTCACTTTAAAGGGCAGAGGCATGTCTGTCCATCTGCCTGCTGTCCATACTGTTGCCTCCTGGTCTCCGCAGAATGGGCACTGTGGGTTTGAGTCTAGGATCTGCTTTTGGGCTGTCTGGCTTTGAACAGGTCACTTACTTATTAGACTGTGGTTCCAACTCCACCAATAAAATATGGATAATAATTCCGTGGATGGAAATATTTCATATTCGCTGTTAATATGAAATTTAAGTCTAGAATTCCCTATGTGTTAACTTTAGGTAGTTAACAAAGTATGTAATTTAGAGAGGTATAAAGAAATTGGTACCTTTTTGTGTATGTGTGCCTTTTAAAAGAGAGATGCTCCTCTCAGCTAGCATTTCATTTTAGTTCGTTGTTTTTAGCAGATAGTGAGAGTACAGGCTCACAGGTGTGCCTCTGATGTCCCCGCTATTCTCTGGGGTGCCTTCAGAGAGCACCAAAAGCCTGACTTCCCAAGGCAAGTCTTTTTAGTCTTGCTTGCTGTTGCTGCTTTGCTGGGGCACTTTTGAAATGTAAATAGAGGCCTGAGCCGTGTTTGAAGAGTTTTCTCCTTCAGGGAGGAAGTCACAAAGCCAGGGCTGGGTAGTCCTGCCTGTTCTCTGACCACTGTTAATATTCCTCCATCTTTTTGAGAAATTTTTTCTCTTGTTCCAAAATTAACTGTAAGTTTTTTTTTCCTTTTGAACGTATTTCACAAAACCTCTTCTAAGCCTGTTAGCTTTCCTGCAGAGTATGTGTGTCTCTGTGTGTAGTGTTGGTATATGCTCTATGTGCTCGTGTGGGTGTGTGCAGGTGTGTGAATGTGTGTGTGTATATGGGGGCTGGAGGTCAGTGTTGAATGTTTACCACAATCACTCAGTCTTTTTTAAGATTGTTTCTCATTGAACCTAAAGCTCATCAGTTTGGCTAGTCTAGCTGGCCAACGAGCTTAAGAGACTTCTGTGGTTCCCATTTCCAGGGTTACAGACGCACACCGCCTTGCCTGGCTTCCATATGGGAACTGGGGCCCAAACTCAGTTCCTCTTGCTTGTACAGTGGGCGCTTTACAGATAGAACCTTCAACCTGGGCAATTTTTGTGTAGCTTTTGTCTCTTCTACTCTTCAGAAGGGTAGTTTGGATGGACGTGGTAGCACATGCCTTTAATCCTAGTGTTAGAGAGACAGGGAGTTGGGTCTGTGTATCAGGTTCCAAGACAGCCAGGGCTACACAGTTGAGAGAACCTGTCTCCCACAAAGGAAAAAAGTGAAAGTAGTTTGCTTAAATATCTGGGTTCATCAGTAGTTCATGATTAGTCACGTGACTTGCTGTTTCTCTTTCTTCAAAAACAAGCCCAACTTTTTCCTGATTAGACCCTTGTAGCACTTTATAAAGTCAATGTTTAAATAAGTGAACACTCTTCCCTGTGCGGAGCACTGTGTTTGCTAAATTTATGAATGGCCTTTTCCCAGGGCCCCACACTGTACAGTTGTGCTCCTGCCTTTTTTCTTTATCCCTTAATTATGTGATGTGCAGGTACTGCCAGCTGCTGCTCCCGGGAACCTTGAAGTGGGATCCATTCAAGTACTGGCAGAGCTCTCCCTCAGGGCTTCCTAGACAGCACTGGGTGTCTGAGATCCTCCTCTTGCTTGCTGCTCGTGTTCTCACAGCCTGGAGGGATTTCCCTGGTTTTTGTTTGTTTGTTTTTAATGACTGTTTTACTCCTGAGTGGCTTCCCTGGGTGCTCACTCCATCTGTTTCCTTTTGGTGCCTCCAGTGTCTTTGCCAAGCCAAATTCTGTTAGCACTACAAAGCTTTCCCTGCCCATTACCCCATCCTCTGGCTTGAGATCATCTTTTCTAAAATACAGTTCCAATCAGGATAGGGAGTTCAAGCAGGCTCTCGTGTCTTACTGGTGTTGGCTCTACAGCAGCAATAGAGGAATAACAGGAGGTTGGACTTTATATTACCTTGTAAGTTTTTCTTGACCTGGGTAGCTATTTTAATGTGAATTTGTTCTTATTTGTCATAAGATAGTTATTTTGAGTTTGTATACAACACATTTGTACCAAGCTTCAGGATAAAATGATGGGTAAATCAGCATTACTGGCCTACACCATCCATGTGGGACATCTCCCAGGTCTTCCTCCATACCCTGCAGGTAACTGGTGGAGCAAGCCTGCCCTGCAGCCTGGTTTTCCGTGTCCTCTCACAGGTGACTGCCTTCTCCATTTCAGATTGTGCTCGGGTTACCTTTTGTCAAAGATAAGGGAGGCTCTGTACTCAATACCTAGGTGTCACTGCCAACAGCTGTGGTAAATCTGAGCATGTGCATTCTGTGTTTCAGGACTGTGAGGGGGAAACTCCCGTTCACAAGGCGGCCCGCTCTGGTAGCCTGGAGTGCATCACTGCCCTGGTAGGGAACGGGGCTCGTACTGAGTAAGTGTCTTCAATTATTCCTCTCACCTAGAGACTGCTCGAGGTGTTCTGTACAGAAATAGCATTTAGAGCAGCAAAAGCCTTAAAACAAGGTCTTTGTTTCTAGAGTTAGCAATATAGTTTGATGGGGGTTAGTGAGAAAGGCTGTGCTAGCTGACGACTAGCAGATCTAGGCTTCTCTCCATAGCCAGAGGAAGGCAGCAGAGTGGATGAAAAGAGCAGTCGGTCCATTAGAGACTTTGCCACTAAGGCGTCATGTCACTATGGCAGGTCTTCCTCACACTGTCTGCCAGGCTATAATTTCACACGGGGAGGCCTGGATTAGAGTCAGGTTTTTGCAGGTCCCTCTGGCTCACAGTCTTGAAGACTGTTTCCAAGTCTGGGTTTCCTTAGCAGTGTGAGGCCTCGTTTAAAGCCTCCTTGGACCTCATGATTTACAGCTTCTAGTAAACTGGAGCTCCATACATAGAGGCTTAACTTGCTTGGAATCTGATGCTGAGGGTTAGTTTAGAATGTTCTTATTTTAGTGCTATTTACATGAGCTGTAGTCTGCCACCCACTAGAACAGTGCTAACGTGTGAGTGTGTTAGTTCAGAAATGTGATCTTGTATGCAAATCATTAGCTAGCCATAGCATTATGCATCATTTAGGTATTATATTCATTTGTTTAACTTTTTTTACATTGTAAAAATTTTCTTCTGCAGTTCACAGCATTAACAAATGGATGCGGTTTTTCACCCTTAAAACGTTGAGTATAAGCTATAGAGAGCTGCAATAACCAAGATAACTGAGAGTACCAGCTGTTAAATTCTACTGTAACTTAATGAGTAATTCATTTAAAAGTTAATTAGAAGCCACTTTATTTTAACAGGAAATGTGGAAATTGAGACTCTTGGATGTGATGAGACCCAGACAATTTAGTTTAACCCTTTGGTTTCCATTTCATTGTTCTAACTCTGTATTACAAGTAAATTCTGAACTTAGATCCTAAGTAACAAAACCATGTATGTTAGCTCATGTAGGCATGTCTGTGTCCAGAGCTCACCCTAATCATTGTCTTAGCTTCCGTTTCCTTCTTTATTGGCTAGTTTTGCCATTAGTTTGGGCTTGGTGGTTTAATGTTATAAACACAGCCTGTGTTGCCTAAGCGTAGCAGCACATGGCAGAAAATCCAAGCACCCAGGAGGCTGAGACAGAATGAGTGGACCTTTGAGGCCCACCTGAGTTACATTGTGAGACCCTGTCTCAAAAACAAACAAAAAAAATGGCATATATTAACTGCTATATTTTAAGGACCCTTGTGACCATTTAGTTGTGATGGAAGGTAAGGTAAAAAAACAACTTGATAATGTAGATATATATTATATAATCTTAAAACATTTAAGATGATTCTCAGTTGCTTTAAAGTTATAGAATCAATTTTATCCACTGTACTTATATTAAAAACTTACACCTTTAATAGCAAGCTTTGATTTTAAATTGATTAAATTACTTAATTATCATTTATGGAAATAATGGGCAATTAAAGTTGGGTTTTTTAAATAGCTTTTTTTTCTAAATTATGCTTTAATTGGTCCTGAACATTTTATTGCAAAGATTTTAATTTTAATGGATAGCTTAATCCTTTGAGCCAGTAAATATCTGTCAGTATGTCCTTTTTTTTTCTTTCTTTCTTTTAAGTAGGTATCTTAAAATATGAGTATCTTTTATTTACAATTCTGTCCTTGGTTACAGGACCCTCAAGTGTCTCTTTTCTACCAGGTGTGGCTGAGCATGGCCTCGAGTGTCAGTCTGTCCCCCATCTCAGTACAGGAGCCACCCCCTCGAGACCCTGCAGTATGGTGACTGCCCTGGACTGAGCTTTCACATTTTTTTGGAAGGAACATTTACCTTGAACTATCTAGGCAAAAGCAATTCTTAAAATCAGAAGTCTTTGGCTTAGAGTTAGAATAAAGTAGAATAAATTTATTGCTATTATGTGTGTGGTTATTCAGTTTATTATCTAATGAATATGTCGGTTTTGCTAGTAAGCTAAATTGAAAACTGCTTCTTGGTGTCTATTCTGCACACTTTTATAATGTATCTGTTTAGTCTGTCTATATAAGCAGTTTGAGTCCCCCAAATAGCAGCGCCTAGATCTGTGTTCCCTTACAATGCTGCTTTACATGGCCACATAATAGTCCCAGCACAGAATAGGTCTTTTTTTCCCCCTAAGACCAAAGGTTTAGCATTAGTTTCCTTATTTAAAATTACTTAATATATCTTCCATTTCAGAATGGGTCAGATTGTTAATTTATTTTATAATCTATAATATTTAAGAGATTAAAAACTTTCCTTTTCCTGTGAATAGGTTAAAAGCTGCCTCATACTGCTATTTTTAAATTAATGGTTTTGCTCTTAATTCCTACTCTGCTTTTTATATATCTGCTACATTGCAGTGGCCAAAGACTAAAGTTGTGCTTTTCTGATCATCAGGTAGATAGATGTTGAGGGTAACTGTGTCTGTGGTAGTGGTTTGTTGTGGCTGACTTGTTAATGTAGGTTGCAGCTGTAAGATAACCCTTTTCAGCAGCTGTGCATCGTATTAAATTTTCTAGCACCACACGTGAGTATGCTGATGGACTTTTGTTTTCTTCTCTTAATTTAAATCTTGAGTTTTGGTGCCAAGTTATCTTTTCCACATAAGCTTCTGCTGCTGGCTTATGTGGCAGTCATCAGTAATTGCCGTTGTTCACCCCTAAAAGTCCAAATACAGAGACTCAAATTCCAGTTCTGTGAGCACACTAAATGTTTGTGTACCTTAAAGGACCTCGAGCTGTATCTAAGCATGTTGAACTCTGTTGAATTTCTGAATCAGTCTCACATGATCTGAAAGGTAGGGATGATACCAGTCTGCCCCTCTATAGAATATGGCTTCAGTAAAAAGTTGTATATTTTATGTCAACCAGATTATTAGAAATAATTACCGTGTTAGCCCAAGAGCAGCCTTACTGTCCAGGAGACGGCTGAAGACGCAGCATTGGACTAAGATAGGCCGGCTCCTTCACCTTGTGTCAGTTGTCTCTGACAGCAGCAGTCCAAAGTGACAGGAGGCAGCCACAGTTGCAGGCTTTGTGGATCTGCTAGGCTTTTGTAGTCTCTGAAGCAGGTGTATGGGCTTCAGCTGGACCCTGCCTAGATAGAGACAGGGTCATCACCAGGACAAACATCACAAACGTATGTAGAGTAGTATATCAGTTCTCTTGTAACTTTTTTATGGGCAAAATGTAAGCATACTGTCTTAGCCATTCACTTCTGAAGTTGATGGTTAATTCATCTCAACATATTTGTCCTTCAGAGCATCAGTCCTGCTAGGAGATGTCTCAGACTCACCGTGACTGAAGAGTTCTTCCATCCTCGTATGCTTGCCTCTTTTCTCATTGTCCCTACTGCAGGATGGAGGTGGCTGTGCAGGTCTGCCCACAGGCAGGTGCAGTCAGTATATGACAAGGCTCCAGAGCTGAAAGACTTACTTAGAATTATTAGTAACTTAAATGACATAGATTTCACTGTTTCTTTAATTGTTACTTTTATATTAAATGGTGTTTTAAAAACAAACCAACAGTTTAAAATACCAATTTTTCCTCTCTGCTACGTCATGGTGGAACATGCTAGGTGTTTTAACGTATGCAAACAGTAATTGTGGTTCACTTGCAGTGCTAATCATCCTCAATAATGTTGAACTTGAAATGAAAACTTGGCACCAAACTTATTCAGGTAGAAACTTTAAAAAAATAGTTTCTTCCTATTGTTAACTGAAGAGTGCATTTATGAAAGTCTTCATGATTGATTATGTGTTTGGATACCAAAGGGTTAAAAATACACCTGTATTTCTTTTACTGCAATAACATGTTTGCTAATGTTTTGTCTGTATGAATAGACATTTAGTAAATGTTTTCATTTTTTTTATCTTTTTTTAATGATTGCATTTATTTGCTTATTTCCATCTAGGAATAGTTACTAATGTATTTGCGATACAGCATACCAAATTTTAAAGTAACCAGAATCGTGAGTTGATGGTTTTTAGTCCATACTGTTAAACATTTGTTGAAATATTGACATAAATTGGCTTCACACTGAAGTTCCTAGAGGTAACTCTTTAAAGACAGCGCTAAAGCAGTGAAAGTGGTCACGCCCCAGTGGCTTAGCCCTGTGACTGCCCTGCACCTCATGTGTGTATGTATTTTTAATCCAGTGTTGCCTGCAAATGTGAATCCCTTATGATTGACGTTTCCTGTGTATGAACCATGCCCGTTTTAAGTCACGCAGAAGATTCTGAATCTGTAAAAACTACACATGTCAATGTTTTACAGCTACATAATTCGAATTGACTTGGTTTTTTCAAGTAATCCTAGAAAGGGGGAGCATTCACATAGAAACTGCTGAAACTGCCACAGGTGCTTCTCCGAAACCTTACGGTTGTGGCATTGAATGTTCAGTATGGCTTCCCTTCTGCACACAAGCATACTGTTGAGGTATTTGTTGCGGTGATTGGTTTTAATGCTAATCTAGGAATTCAGATATAGATTCTTTAGATTTGCATGCTTTGCTTACCCTAATTTATGATATCTACCCTTTTATTTGTAAACTAACAATAGCTAAATTCAGATCAGAATTTTAACAGAAATATTATTTATATAAAATTGTGGTTAATTTTTGTTGTCACATGGCATTAGCATAAAGAATATCACAAAGGTGATGTGACCCCTTGAGTTGTGAAAATGATAGCATGTATCTCCTGTGATTATTATGTTAATAAAGAAAAAACAGTCATTGGAACTGCTTCTCTACTCTGGTATTGTGACACTGTAAGTGGAAAATCAAAGGGGCAGCTGGCCTCAGTGGCAATCAGTTCCTTGGGAGGAATTCTTGAGCAAATTAAAATTGAATGCTCCATTCAAAATATTCTTACAGGAAATTGTGTTTGGTGACAGTTTGATTCATTTTTGCCACTTTGGCAAAATGTTTCCTTTGTAGCTGGGATTGCTCTCTCGTGCTCGTTTTCAGATTCTCGAAGATGAGCCAGACGTCTGGGAGTGCAGCTCAGTAGTTAAGAGCTTGCCCAGCAGTAGGAGCCCTCAGCTGGGATTGACAGGCAGGGGCAGCAGGTAGAGTTCTGCCAGCCTCCTCCTCAAGTCCATTTCAGAGCTTCAACAAGACTAGAGTTTAATAGACTCCCCATTTTAGTACTTTTGTGTGTGGGGGGGTGTTAGGACCAGAGAGAGTGGATAAGGCCTAAGGATCATTCTTAAAAAACAGTTTTAGCCATTTCTCCCAAGTAATATATCTTTATTGGTACTTCGTTAGAGTCTGTCGGCAGGACACAGGTAGTCCTGTGGTGAATGCTGGTGAATCAGGCTGAAAGGGCACGCTGTTAACAAGCACGTGACCCAAAGTAGAGTGGACATAGAAATCGTAAGTGAATTGTGTCATTCATTCATTTGTGTGCCCACCTCCCATGGGATTTAGAAAACTAGGGCAAGGAAGGCTGAGATTACCTCCTTAAACTGGGAACGCTACATAGAGGCCAAAGGTACAGTTAACTTGGTATAGTCTGACAAAGATTGCTGTCTTGCCTGTCAAAACACTAAAGTTGAAATGTAAACTAAACAGTGTGTGAAAACAGAATTTAAAGACCCAAGCTTTTTTTTTTATTAAAAATTACTATTTTGATGACTAAGGGTATAGATCAATGGTAGAATGCTTACCGTGTGTGCACTCCAGGATTTGATCCCCAACACTACAAAAATAAAACCCATGTTTTGAGGGGATATAACTTAGTGCTATCCTAATTGATGTGCAAGCCCACATAATTTTTAGCCTCTAATGAATTGAAATTAAGTTTGTAAAAGTAGTTGGAAGACCTAGAAAGCAGTACTTGTTCTGCAGAGTCCCACTTATGGATTCCGCCGTGAGGCGTAGCAGATATTGAGACAGGATTGCTTGATCTGATAGTTGTCTTGGTATCCAATATTTTGTGATAGATTTGGCAGTTAGTAGAAAGTTTCTTTTTGTTTGACTATATAGTGAATCCAGTAGTGTGTAAAACAATGAGGAGGACTCTGGGGATCCTGGTTGGTTTGAGGGAGCAGCCTGATGCTTGTCAGCAGCTCTGTTCCTGGCCCGTGAGCTATAATTTTAACAGGAATCAAAATGAGAAATAGTGGGCATTATATGTGAAGTTGCATGTGTCTCAGATTGTCTCTGCAGGCATTGTGTAGCACAGATGTGTAGACATAGTCATGTGTCCCGTTCACTTTTTAGAACTTTTTCCCATTCTTATTTACTTCTGGTCCTTCAAAATTGTAGCAAGGCTCAGGTTGACGTTTGACTCTACTGCTGCTGCACAGGATGGCTTGGCTCTCATTTTCTGAGATTTTCTCTTACATTTGAAAGTTGGACCCTGTAAACATCTAGAAGTTGGTTGGCTCTGGTGGTAGAGGAAAGCACCAGTGTTAGTGGCTGCCTGGCTGATGGGGGCAAGCTGTTAAGCCTACTGTGATTAATGGTGCAGATTTCCTAGTGCATTTACTTACCCTGTTATTGATGTTGGCTTCCCATTTCTGCATTTTTTCATTTTGGTGAACAAGACCATGCTTATCCATAGAAATGACCATTTGTGGGCGAGTGAGACAGTGAGTTTAGTTCCCAGACCCCGTATGGTAGAAGACAATAGTCTTTAACAAGTTGTCTTCTGATCTCCATATATAGATCATAGTGCCTGTGTATTATATACACATGCAAATGTAACAATAAAAGTGTTTGTTAGAAATTTTGTTTATAGCGTTGCTCTTGTCTTCAAATTCTGAGGGAGTTTGAATTTTTCAGTTTGTTTCTTGACAAGTGGACCTGTCTAGACCATCCTTACTCTGCTATCTGATAAACTCCACACGTTTATAAGAAATGTAAGTCATGTGACTATGTGGGGCACTTAATATCTGTGTTTGTCATGTTTTAATGATAGGTGGGCTTTCTTTTGGCCATGTATTAAATCTTTTTTTTTAATTCATGTATCAGTAAGATGCTATAAAGACTCTACATCAGAATTCATTGTGCTAAAGTCTTCTTACTGGTCCTGTATATAATTACTTTTTATTTTTAAGAAAATGCTACTGATTCCTGGAATTCTCAGGTCTTGCCTCTTTGTATCTCATTCAACTGGACTTGAGGACTGGTAAGATAACTCAGTCAGTAGAGAGCTTGTTATACAAGCATCGGGAGCTGATTTTGGATCCCCAGGTATTGAGGAGACAGGCAGATTCCAAGAGTTCTCCGGCCTGCCAGTATAGCCACATCAGTGAACTCAGGTTCAGTGGGAGACCCTGTCGCCACACACAAGATGGAGAAAGATTGAAGTCCATCTCTAGCCCTCCCATACACACACCGCAGCACTACACATACAACAGACTGCAGGCATGGCATCACATGCACAAACTGGACTTGAGTCTGTCTTCAGATAGGTATTACATTTCCTCTTTTTATTTTTTTTAAATAAGTCTAATGCGTGTCCAAAACACTTTGCAGCCTAAGCCTTGTGCATGTGATGGAATACGAGGCTGTGTTTTATCCTTGTAAACTAAGAACGTTATTTTTCCCTGAGCCTGTAGTTTGGTGCTTCAGTTTTAAGTTTTTCTGTTTGTTTCCTTGACAGTAACCGTCAACTGAGGCCTTCATTTTATCAGGTTTGGTTGGGCGTGGAGGATAGCTGGCTGAGTAGGTATGGAAGCTCCCCCACCACTGCTGTACCCGGTGCCAGCTGCCGAGCCTGAAGCCAGCAGCTGCTTCCCTGCAGCTCTGCTCTCGGCAGCACTGTCCTCGGCTCTCACTGGTTTCTCCTGTTGACAGATTACGCTGTTTCTTTCCTGTTTGACTCTGGCTTAAATTCTGCCAGTATTTCTTTCTTTCTTCCATGACATTTTTTTTTAGTGTTATCCCCAGGCGACAGTAGTGAGTAGGACTGAGCCTAGGGAATGAGCTCCGTGGTGCTACTGCAGGGTTGTTCAAGGAACTAGTTACCCCAAACGTCATAGGTTTCCAACATGATGTGCTTCTGCAAATTTTCCTACAGAGGACAAGTCTATCAAAACATAACTCACCTTGTCCGAGGTGGTAGGGCCTGTGGCAGGTCACTTTGTCAGAATACTTGTGAACTTGTCTGAGGTGTGGGGTCTATGGCAGGTCACTTTGTCAGAATACTTGTGAACTTGTCTGAGGTGTTGGGTCTATGGCAGGTCACTTTGCCAGGATACCTTCTGAACTTGTCTGAGGTGTGGGGTCTATGGCAGGTCACTTTGCCAGGATACCTTCTGAACTTGTCTGAGGTGTTGGGTCTATGGCAGGTCACTTTGCCAGGATACCTTCTGAACTTCCACTTAGAGTGTCACATATCAGCCACAAATCTGGCTTGTTGCTACGCTGTGACTTTGCGTGTTCAGGGAGCCACTCGATAAGAATGCCATGGACAATGTTGTCAGTACATGTTTGTTATAATTTTACTCAAGCTAAAGGATGGGCTTTTAAAATTAGGTGCAGGTAATTCAGAATCTGTTTCAGATGAAGTCTGAAGTTAGAATAAATTTAGATTCTTCAGACTAACATAAAACACAACTTTAAGAAGTCAAATAGGAAGATACCTTTTAAGTTTAGTATATTGATTTTTTTTGTTTTTACTGTCTCCTGAATCAAATATGTGTAGGAAAAGTTAGTTACAGACCAGGCTGATTAACTGCTCTCTTAATGAAGATTTGCTGTAGATCTGTTGTTGCCTTCAGATAGTTTAGTCAGTTTGGCAGGAGCAGACACCAGGGTCAAGTGCTGCGGGGTGTAATTCATTGTTTTTGTGTTGTACAGCCTGAGAAATGCCAGTGGCCTGACGGCAGCAGACATTGCACAAACCCAGGGTTTCCAAGAGTGCACCCAGTTTCTCTTGAGCCTCCACAACCATCAGATGAGCCGTTTCTGTCATAATGGCACCTTGAATGGAGCTCACGAGAACATACTTCCCAATCACATTGGCCTGGGAACAAATCGAAAGAGATGCTTGGAAGACTCAGAATCTTTGGGAGTAAAGAAAGCTAGAACCGGAGGTGAGACCATGTGGGAGTGGGAAAGAGCAAGGGCCCTGCCTGACAAGTCCCTTCTTCATGGCTAAAAGCAGTTTTTAGAGGCACCTTCTGCCAGACACTAAGCACTGAGAGAGTTGTATGTGGGGGCGTGGAGACCTGTCTGTCCTGTGCTGCACTGTGAAGAGGGGCTGCTTACCAGAAGGGAGGTGTGGAAGTGGCTTACGGGTAGCTCAAGTGTGAATGAATGGGACCTGTGGCTTCTGAGTGTCCTTATACTTCCTCTGTGAGCTAGGGGGGCATGTCTTCATTTGTATTTGTTTACAGTATCACCGGTAAAGAAATCTGCCATCGAGCCTGATTTTGTTGTTAATTTCTGCATTGTTTCTGAGCTTCTTAAGAATTGTCAATGGCTGACTGTAGTGGCGCACACCAGCACTTGGGAGGCAGAGACAGGACTTGCCGAGGATGACCCTGTCCTGTGCAGCAGGACACCAGACAGATATTCATTAGCTGCCTAGTGGTACCCAGAACTTGGTGTGAGCAGCATCGTCTTTCTCCTGCTCAGCACTGTCCAGCATGGTCTCTGTTACTGTATCACAGCCATTGACATTTCTTCACTGCAGGTTTTTGTGTTACTGTGATTTTAGTAGATAGAAACATATGAACATACACATTAATAGCTTAGTCAAATTGGGATTTGTGTAATTTGTGGGCCTTACAGCTTCATAGAGGTGCTATATAAGCTGAGTGTGGCACACCCGGACATGGGTTTAGACTGGCAAGGTGTTGGTTAGTTGATAAGTATGGTAGTTACTTGTACAATGTTCCAGTTTATTTGTTAATGTTTTGGGTTCTTTGTTGTTTGAGATAGGGTTTCTCTGCATAGCTTTCAAGCCTGTCCTGGAACTCATTTTGTGGACCACCCCCAGCTGTTAATGTATTTTTTTTAAAGACCTTTTCTGTTTCATGCAGTACCTCGTTGGTTTACTGAGTGTTCATCTTAATAATCAAGTGTGTAAATTGTACATTATCTGTTATAATTGATAGATCCTTTAAAGATAGTTATTTGCTTTTCGTTGTGGCTATTAGATTTTAAATTCTGATTCAATTTTATTTATTTATTTTTAAAAAAAAATATTTATTATGTATACAATATTCTGTCTGTATGCCTGAAGGCCAGAAGAGGGTGCCAGACCTCTTTACAGATGGTTGTGAGCCACCATGTGGTTGCTGGGAATTGAACTCAGGACCTTTGGAAGAGCAGGCAATGCTCTTAACCACTGAGCCATCTCTCCAGCCCCTCTGATTCAATTTTAAAAACTAGACTTAGATTGAGAGATGGCTCAAAGCTTAAGAGCGCTGACTACTCTTCAAGGGGACCTGGGTTCAATTCCCAGCATCTGCATGGTAGCTCAGTGCTGTCTTTACCTCTAGTTCCAGGAGACACGCACCAATTTCGAAAAAACAAACAAAATCGGTGGTGGTGACACGCCTTTATTCCAATCACTTGGCAGGCAGAAGTTGGATCTCTATGAGTTAGAGGCCAACCTGGCATACATAGTGAGTTCCACGACAGCCAGGACTACACAGAGAAACCCGTCTCGAGAAAACCAACAAAAATAATTAGATTTATTTATTTTACACAGGAATGTTTTGCCTGCGTGTATATCTGTGTGCTATGTGTGTATGCCTGGTGTCTGCAGATGTCAGAAGAGGGCAGGCATTGGATCCCCTGGAACTGGGCTTAAGTACAGTTGTGAACCTCAGTGTGGGTGTTGGAGCCAAGCCATGGTTCTCTCCGAGAACAGGTGACTTCCTCAGTATCTGGTTTGCAAGAAAGAGTTGTGTGTCTGTGTTTTCTGTTTCTCAGCCGTTTGCTCAAGGCAGTGTGGTAAGCAGTGAACTGGAGGATGGTCCTGCACCTGCTGCCTCCAAGTCAGCTGAGTTTGTGTTGGTGCCCTCGGTTCATCTTCAGAAGAACATGGTGCTCTGGCCGTGCTTAGTGCTGGCTTTCTTTGGAACTTCAGACTGACTGGGCAAGGACTGGGAAAGCAATGCCTGAGAAATAGGCTGCATTCACCTCTCAGGTCTGCCTGTGACTGTGATGTTGATCCGTAAAACACTGGGAGGGAAACAGCATTCCCTGGCCGTAGTCGGCGCTGGGTTTACTGGGTAAGTGTAGCATAGGATTTTGGGGTTTTTGTCAGTCGTCCTTGACGGGTCCTGAAGGAAAACAATATTCCTGGCCGGTAAATAATAGGTAATTTGCCAGCTGCCTTAAACATGAAATTCACAAAAACTCCCAGGAATAAGATGTTCATTTGGTTCTTTTAATTCGTAATGTCTGTCCCCAATGTTCTCAGTTTTGCAGCAGTTGCTATAATTTTATAATTTATTTATTTGTATTTTGTGTACATAGGTTTTTGCCTGCATGTATGTCTGAGTAAAGGTGTTGGATCCCCTGTAAGAGTTACAAGTGGTTGTGAGCTGCCTTGTGGGTGCTGGAGATTGAATCTGGGTCCTCTGGAAAAGCAGCCAGTGCTCCTAACCGCTGAGCCATCTCTCCAGCCCCTTATCTGTTTTTAAGTTTTTAGGGTGTCAAAACTTAACTTTCCCAAACAGGTGGTCATCCTGATCCCTGGAGGTATCATTCTTGTGTGTGCAGGGGTTGTGCCAGGGGACCACATGGTACCTGTGGTTTTCCTGTCACTACTCTGGTCTGGTTTTTCCCACAGTTGTGACAGCCTGTTTCACACACGGCCCCTTTGTACTCTTCGAATACAGCCTCAGTCCTCCTCAGTCTCTCCAGAGCTCTGCCGCAGTCCCTGTGCCTTGCCTCTCTCTGCCTTGTGTCATCCCAGCTCTGCCCGCACAGACAGTCTGCTTTATAGAAGAGCCTTGGTTTAGACCTTGAACTGTGTTGCAGGAGCTAGTTGGCAGATTGAGAGGTACGTAGGTGATAACGACATTTGAGCACACAGTTGGCTGCTAGAAACCAAGATGCAAATATTTCTACACCTGCTCTTCTTGTTAGAGTCAGGCCTTCCTCTAGCTTAGCATTCCCTGATAATGAGTGTTCTTGAAACTAAAGGCTGCAGGGCATGAAGTCTTGGGCAGCACATACTTTTGCCACCTCTCAGAGGTTAGTGGGCCAGTGCTAAAAGCTTTTTTCTAGGGTGCCGGAAGTGTTACAAGCCTGGCTTTGTCCCAAGCCTAGTGGGTTCATTGTCTGAAAGTCCTTGGTGATTTAGGCCTGTGTGCATTGGCATCTGCTGTTTTGGTTGTGTGTAACTTAGCAGTGTAGGTCTTGGGAGCATTTCTCTTGGGTAACTAGAGCACAGGAAGCTTGGCTACGCAGCTTTAAGAATGATTTCTTGGTTAATAGTGGTGGCACGCCTTTAATCCTAGCACTCGGAAGGCAGAGGCAGGCGGATCTCTGAGTAAAGGCCAGCCTGGGCTACAGAGTGAGTTCCTGATAGTCAGGGCTACACAGAAATCTTGTGTGTGTGGGGGGGGGGGGGGTCGTGCTTTTTGCATCCTTTCCAAACGCAAGCAGAATAACCATTGGGCCACTCGAGACATCCGCATAAGCCACCTTCTCAGATGTGTCATAAATGGCTTCTTTAGCAGAGACAGATTGGGGGCAGAAACGCCATTAACATCAAGGTGTGACAGGAGCATATGGAGTCCAAACACAGTATTTTTAGGAATACTGTGATATTTAATTTCATGATTCATGACATGCATTTTTAAAAAGTGATAGTTCTGCACCTGTCATGTGCATCAGGCACAGAGAGTCTGCCTGGTCAGAGTCATGTCTACCATGATCCTGGGCCACCTGTTATGAGCATCTTCCCAGAAGCTCAGGAAATGAGATGCTAAGCTGTAGAAGATGAAAAAACTTCCCTCCCTCCCTACCTGCTAGATCAGTGACAAAGCCCTGTGTGAAAATCCACCTCAGTGGGCTTCCCTGGGGCACTCACCAGACCTTCCTGTGGTGTTGAGATCAGTGGTCTTTGGTTCTTAATATTTGGAAAGGAGTTATTTTCCTGTTTTTGTTTTTTCTCGCTGGTGTGTGGGCTTTGTGGCAGCACACACCTCTTGGTAGACAGAGGTAAGTAGATCTTATGAGTTCTAGGCCAGCCTGGTCTACAGAGCGAGGTGCAGGCCAGTCAGGGCTACTTGTAAGGCTTTGTGGCAGAGGACAGAGAGAATGTCCTTCACATTTATTGGATGTTTTTATTTTGGTGACAGTTTCACTCTGTGGTCCAGCTGGGCTCAAACTTATGATCCTCCTGTCTCAGTCTTCCAAATGCTGAGAATATAGAAGGCACCCCACATCTATGCTTCAGGTCAGAAAAAAAAACCTACTTTTCAGAGATGTGAACTTGCACAAAAACAGTAATCTGTAGTTGCCACTTTCCATGAGGCCTAAGTGTGTCTAGCGTCTGGTGCGGCTGTTTAAGGAGTACTTGGGTTTGACTGAGCAGACACAGCAGAATGGGGACCAACACTGGTCACTGGCCTCAGGGTCCCAGTGTGTGCATTGTTACCTACTCAGCTGCATTATTGACCCCTCCGGATCACAGCTGGTGTGGTTGCTGTGGTGTAACTGGCCAGTTGGTACCTAATTCCTGCTAACTTGGGACTTTGAAATTTAAAAGAGCTTTATGTGAGAAGGACAGCTTAATGGCTGTCTTTCCACAGTCCTGTTTAAACTGCTTTGTCTGACTCGTGCAGACTGTCCATCCTGCACTGCTCATTCAGATGGGTTCTCCTCTTGTCTCTGGCACCTTTGGTTTCAGTCTACACATTAGCATCTGGGTGGGGTGGGGAATGGAGTGTTGGTATAAATAATTGGAAAGACCCTCGTGCCTCTAAAATGAGAGCTAGTTAAAGCTATGAAGTTTATTTCTTCTATTTTGAAAACTACTTCATAGCCTGCGTTGTTTATTTCTGTCCTTTGGCCCAAAAATAACTGTAGGTATTTATTGAAGAAATGTCAACAGAAATGAGCATAGGAGGCTCGTGACCATGCAGTTGTGAGAGCGCAGAGGGAGGCAGCTGAGAAAGACTCTGTTGCCTAAGGTGGCTGGGGCCATATGGTGAATAAAAGACTTTTGAAGTAGTTAGCATACAAAATAATATGCTCCAATATGATATTTCATACATGTATCATTCCTTGCTTATGTTTGACACCCCCTACTCTTCCTTCCTACTAATGTCCTTTCCCCAAATAGTCCTTTCTCCTTGCACCTGCATGTGCAGTGTGTGTGGAAATCTAGATTTACATGTGAGAGAAGACAGTATTTTTGTGTCTAGTTTATTTTGTTTAGTGATATCCAGTACATAAAACCTCCTGCAGATGACGAGTGCTTTCCCTCCCCTCCCCGCTCTCTTGAGACAGGCTACTCTTTAGCCCTGGCTAGCCTGGAACTTGCTGTGCCTTGCCTCAGACTCAGAGAGATCCACTGCTTCGTTTCTCTAGTGCTCAGACCACACACCTGCACCACGATTTCACTCTGTGCTTAAATAACAGAGAAGTCAATGAAGCAGCATGTAGCAGCAATTCTCAAAGCCATTTTTATCATGATTTTAAAAGAAAAAAGAAGTCCATTCTTATCAGTTAGAAGCCATTTGTCAAAGAGAAGCAGTGAGAAGATTGTCAGGTTTGGGACAGAGGTGTCTACAGAGTGTGTTCCTGAAACGATGGTGTCTGCACTGCCACCCGCAGACAGAGTGGCAGTCTGTCCTTCTGCCCCCCGTCACAGACTTTCTAATATGCACCTTGTGTTGGGGACTCAGACTGGACATTGCTGGGAGTGGGTCCCCATGGACAGCCTCTGCTTGAGTGCCACCCTTTCCATACTTTTTTTTAGTTTATGGGACTTTTTTTTAATGTCAAGATTGTTTTGAATGCTTCATGTTGAGAATTGTCTTCAGTATTTAATTAAACCCACTTTTTGTCGGAGCGGGGTGGGATACACTTAGAATTATCTCTAGGTCATACAACTCTTACCCAAAGAACAACCTGGGAATTACAGCTTTTACCATTTAAAAAATGAGCAAAAATCTGGAATTCATGATTTTGAGCTAAAATTGCATACATAAACACTTATTATTAAAAAAAAAAAAAGTACTTTCACAACAGTATAAAAGTTCACTAGCACCAGACAGTGGTGGCACACACTTTTAATACCAGCACTCAGGAAGCAGAGTCAGGTGGATCTCTGTGAGTTCGAGGCCAGCCTGGTCTGCAGAGTGAATTCCAGGACTGTCTCGACAAATATATTTCCCTAGTGATCTTTGCTTCTTTTTCAGTGTAGATAAGGGGGATGGAAAGTGTGGCCTTGGTTTCTTTGGGGCACAGAAATCTAAACTTGCCTGTCTCCTGTGCAGTTCCCAGCCTGGATCACACCATGCCACTAGCAAATGGCGAGGCTGAAGACGACGCTGAGAGAATGCATGTTGACAGAGAGTTTACTGCTGTATCAGGTGGGAGTGGACAGTTTCCTGTTAGCTGCAACAACACCCCAGTGCTCGAAGACACCAAACAACAGGAGAGTGGTTCTGTTGGACCCAAAGAAATAGAAATATATACTGTTTCAGCAATGCAGACCCCTTGTCGTTGCAAGAATCAGTATGCTTACTATTTCTAAGTTCTCAAACTTTGCACTTTCTTGTCCAGTGTCTTTTAAGAAAAAAAAATGTTCTATTATAATTTAATTTTTTGGCACTTGTATGGATGCAAGAATTAAGCATTTCATTGAATTCTAGTGCAGTGAGGGAGTGCAATCCCATTCTGATTTGAAGCATTTACATGATGTGCCTTGTTTGTTCTCATGAGGTCTGCAGCTGGCTTCCTGGCATGGCCTTTGGGTGACTTTGCACGTGCTGTTGCTTATATTCTGATGGCAGTGCAGCAGGTGGACAGCTCACTGTCAACACTGGGAACTGTGGGGGTGGTGACTGGCTTGTGACCCACTTGTGACAAGTTTGGGATAGTTGCCCCACGCTCTTGGTTGTTTTGGTGTCTACCAATCCTTTGAAGACTGTTAAAAGGCTGACCATTTTCAACAGTGTTCTACGTGTTAAAATGTTCAGCAATGAAAATAATTAACTCTTATTTTACAGTTTAAAGTCAGAGAATCTCGGGTTTTCCAGGCTTTAGGGTTTCTGAAATGATGTATTTATTGGCATGTGCCTTTTTCTCCCATTCTTTAGGAGATGACAGAACGCCATGCTATTTCAGTATGTCTGTCTGTTTAGAGATACTGATTTTCTTTTTTTTTTTTTTTTTTTTTTTTTTTTTTTTTTTTTTTTTTTTTTTGGTTTTTCGAGACAGGGTTTCTCTGTGGCTTTGGAGCCTGTCCTGGAACTAGCTCTGTAGACCAGGCTGGTCTCGAACTGATTTTCTTTATAAAAAAGGTTTTATTATAATTTCTTTCTGTTCCTTTCTTTACTGGGAATAAAAGGTCACCTGTGTGTTTTCAAACCCACGGGAAATGTTTCTGTGCCCCTAAGTTGCTCTGCAGTCGTGGGTGGTGTACTCACCTGTGAACAGTTGCTCAGAGAGTACATTTTAAATAAGGTTTTCTGTCAGCAGATGTAGTTTTTACCTCACAAAGAAAAACTGACAAAAGCCGGAGCCTGTCCTTTATGAAGGTGACATCGCTTCCTCCCTGGTCAGGCAGGAGTAACCACTCTCCTCTGCTTCTGTTAACAGCCAGCCCGTGCTAAGCTTGTGGGCAAGCTTTTCCTTCAAGCCAGGTGGTCCTGGATGTCAGAAGGCCATGTGGGTCTTCTGATGCTTCCCAGTACTGTCTGACTGAAGAAACGGGTTAGGAATCCCTAGAAAGTCTTGTAGTTCCTTGAGTGAAAGCCTGTAGAGACAGCAGCTACTGCCCTGGGGGCTACACAGAAGGAAGGCATTTCTCCTTAAGGCAGCTCCACACTTAGGAAAAGCTGTTTTAATGATGCCTACGCATTTTTAATGCCCCTCATTTGAGACTCGCGGAGGGTGAGCTTCTCCTGTGAGCATATCAGAGATGTCTTCCCAGCTGGGCCTGGCTACCTGGGCCCAGTGCTTTGTGGCTTCTGTCCACAGCTGAGCAAGTGTGTGAGAGGGGGAGTAGAGTGGACTCAGCTTCTCCTTGAGATGTCAGTCATTGCCGCAGAGGAGGCTAGGCGACAGTAAGTAGTGAAACTGGTTTACTGCAGCTGGGCACTGACACTGCCTGTAGGGCATCAGTAACTTTGAAATTCTCCGTCCTGTTTATGAGTTAGCGTACAGGAAAGATGATTTATACTTTATTTTTGGAAAAAAAATTTCCCCTTGAGAAAATCGTGCTTCTTTTTTTTTTTAAAGTTTTATTCCAAGTACTTGAAATATGCATTCTCTAATACTGAGTTGTTTACAGAAAATTAAAATTTCAGGGGGAAATTATCCTCTGAATGTGTTGCAATTTCTAAGTTATAATTACTACTAATATCCAAAAAGAAAAACTGTTGATGCCCTGTCTTGATGTTTTGTTTGCTTAGTAACCACAGTCCTTGACAGGACACATGCAAACTGTGGGGCACAGGGAACGTCCCTGTGCTCCTCCACAAGCCACTAGAACTGAGCTTGAGTAGACTTAGTGTCTGTCTGTCTCAACAGCCCAGAACACTGAGATAAAATTGAGTATTACCAAGCAAGAGCTCGTTTTTTACTGAGTGTGGACTCCTGTGAACATGAGTTTAACTCTCTGTGCTCTAGCCCTGTGCGCCCACATGTTCTCTGTACAGCATCATCTTGTCAGTGGACATTTAAATCCACGGACTAAACTGTTCACACTTTTCCCAGCATCAGTGGTTTCTGAAAATAACCAGATAGGAGAGTTTGGCTCTCAGAGTCATCTTTGATGCTGGACTCAGCAGGAACCCTAGGAACTGCTCTTGACCCAGGACCGTAGGAGCTACTGGTGTTGATAGTTGGCGGTGGCCACCGTTCTGTGCTGCACCAGTGCACTGAGTGGCATCTCGGGCTGTATGCCGATAATGGGTATTGATGAGACAGAAGCAATTCTTTTTACTAATGTGTCTGTGCTGCCCTGACTGGGAAGCATCCCCCAGTGGTGCCCTAGTTCCAGCTTCCTTAATGTATCTACTTCATTGCCTTTTCCCTCCTTGACTAGAAAAGTTCAGTGTCGTAAGTAGAGAGTGTTCTGCTGGGTTCTGATGTACCTTCTGGGTTGGCTTAAACTGTTCTTCAAGGGTTTAGAAGATCGGTATCTGCTGCTCTGTGTTTACTTTTGGTGATAGATTTATTTCTGCTCTCCAAGGCTACTGAAGTACATATACTTTTCCTATCTTATAGGCAAAATACTGTAGTTGTGTCTTCTGCCTGTATAACCTTGGAAAAGGAACTGGTTTGTTTAGAAGAAAAAAATAGCAGTACACAAACAAGTTTTCTAGAATTGTGGCAGGGGTTGAACATATGCTAGTTTCTCCTTCCCCGTTGGTCTGTGTTTTGGTGACAGGTATATTTCTTAATGCAGATATGAAAAACTGTAGCTCCGTGTTGAATACATTGACAAATGGAAGTGTCATCAATGAACATTTGGACTTCCCCTGCGCGACCCAGCTCAATGGGATGGAGAGCAGGAGTAACCCGTGCTTAACAGGACCTAATGGAGTTAGCAATGGACAGCCATTTTCCAGTGACCAGGGTTCTGTCTGTGCTAATGGGACTGAGGAGCCAGAAAAGACCATGGGCGTTAACCCTGAGATGTGTGGGTCTCTGCATCTGAACGGGAGCCCTAGTAGCTGTGTGGCCAGCAGGCCGTCCTGGGTGGGGGATGTGGGAGAGAACTTGCACTATGGACACTACCATGGGTTTGGGGACACTGCTGAGAGCATCCCTGAGCTGAGCAGCATGCTCGAGCACTCGAGCTGCGTGCGGGTAGAGCAGCGCTATGACAGTGCCGTCCTGGGCACTATGCAGCTGCACCATGGCTCCTGAGCCCAGGCGCCAACCTCAGCCACACTGCGGTATTAGCCTGCACAAGCGGCACAGCCTGTGTCATTGGTGCCGCAGCTGAGAAAGGACTTGGATTCATTGACGCAGTTGCCAGTGAGTGCGGCTCTGCGCAGGGGGCTTCCCAGCGCACAGATGTCTCTCATGGGATGGTGTGTGTGCCTCCTGCGGGGAGCACTTTGTGGATGGTGTGGGTTAGTGATGAGGGGCCTGGTGACACGCAGGCATCATCGAGTCATTTACCACTTGCTGCAGCACTCGCGACAGCATAGGAACAGGCCGTCAGTGGTCAGGGCACAGTACTCTCCCTTCTTCCATGTTTCTACTTGGTCTCGAGACTTTTTACCACAGATAATGGTTCTCTTTATATTTAGTGGAAGTCACTGTTTGTAGGAACTGTCAGGTCAGAATATTTTACTATGGTGACCTATTTTTTGTTACTGTTTTTTGAGGTTTTCTGCTTAAATATATATACCATATATATATATCCAGTTAACTGAGAGAATTTTGGATTTCTCTTATTAAAGCTGCATTAAACTTATGGTTTTATAGAAATTAGCTTTTGTTTAGGCCACTAGTTAGGCTGCGAATACTGCAATGACTTCTGGTTTCTGTAATAGCAGTCGGTGCAGAGAAGCCGTGAGGTGAAGGAACCAATGGAAGAGTGTGCTAGCATTTTCTTTTTAAACTGTTCTTTATAAATTGAATAAAAACCTCACTGCTGATCTGTTTCTCTGGAGTGTCCTTTCTCGGTGGGGTTGGTCGGGAGGTATCTGTTGGGTTTGCTCACACTCTTCATTCTGTGGCCCTGTCTTATGAAGCCTCTTGAAGACGTTGTATGTCTGCAGTATTGCTGCCCTTGGGGACTTATGGGTTGTAGTTGTCATGGTTACAGTGAACTTCAGCCTTTTAAGGGTGTCAATTTAGTTAGATAATTAGAGTAAAATAGTCACCTGGCATGCCTGCAGTGGGGTTCTGCAAACTGCCATTCATGTTATCCTTGTACAGCTTAGACTTACATGAAGAAGGTGAAGTTTTGAAAATGTCCCTGTCATAGTCAAGGTCAGAACCCTTGCTTGAACCCTGAAAACCACTCACCAGGGTCTGAGAAGCTGCCTGCTTTGCTGACTCTCTGGTGAGGCTTAGTCCCATTCCCTGGATTGTGCCACAGAGTATCAAAGGCTTGATACAGAAGCAGTTTGTTCACAAGTTCATGGGCGACTCTCTCAAAATATTCTTTAAAGGAAGCTGGAGAGGTGGCTCAGGGTAATAGCGCTCGCTGCTCTGCTGCTCTTGGAGGCCCTGAATTCAATTCCCAGCACCCACATGGTGACTCACAACATCTAAAATAGAACCTGCCCTCTTCTGGCAGGGATGCATACATGTGGACAGAGCACCTACACAGTTTAAAAAAGAGTATGAGGATAGAAATGTTTGACCCATCTTGAAGATTGTCAGAATATGACTGTTCGGGAAATGCTACATAGAATCTGTAGTGGCGGGACACGGATGCTTTCCACAGGAGGTTAGTGCCAGCTGTTGTCCCCAGCGCTAGTAAACAGATGGACATTGACACTGAACGGAGCAGTGTGAGCTCCGCTGTGCACATTGTGCAGGGTATTTGGTTTAACTAGGCAAGGGCCTGAAGGAGGGAAACACACTTTCTGAAGTGGTCATTTCAGCACCCTCTGAGAAAGGAGTGCCAGCAAACAAGAAAGAGTTTTCATTTTATTCAGAAGGAAAGGTGTGAAGCCACATACAATTAACATTCTAAAAGTAGAATAAGGCCACATGAGAACAGCCCAGCTTCCTCCTGCCACCACCTCCCTGCGATCCAGAACCACCTCCAGGGACCCCTAGTTAATGCGGTTACATGTTCTCGGAAGCACTACTGAAATTCTAGCAGGGGTGCACCTGTCTCGGGTTTCTGCAGAAGGTGTTTTCATGATCGTCATGGGCTGACTTGGCCCTTCTGACAGTTCAAGGTAACTGAAGGCCAATTTTGCAAGCATGGTTCATGACTCATGGCATCAAATAGCACATTACGACAGCAACACCAATTCCTTATCCTGGGGTTTGGAGTTGTCCCCAAAGGGAGAGGAATGTGAGGGGTATCCTGAAGAGATCAGTGACTGTCCAGCCATTTGGGCTCTTCGGCCGGAGGCTTAGGGTTTCGAGCTTGAGCTACTAAAAACAGTGCCCTCTGGGTCATGGCTCCCACATCCCATAGGAGGCCAGGTGGGTCCTCCAGTGACCAGAGCTGGAGGGCATGTTCTGTGCCTAAGAGTGCCGCGGGCAGAGCGTGCGACTGGACTGCATCATTCTGGGGGCAGTGGGCTCCAGTAACCACCAAGGTATAAAAATGCGAGTTCCTAGAGAGGCCGGAAATCCACATGTCATGGCAACAGGTGAGCAAGAAGCCAGGGACTCGGTGGACAGTGGAGCTCTGCTCTAAGCTCTTCACAGACCTTTGGACAAACACCCTGCTCACATCGGATTTGGGGCAAGTCTCCATCTCCAGAGCCTCCAAACTGCATGGTCTTGGCTTTCATCCCTGGGCATGGTGACTCAGGAGAGCCACAGCAGGTACACCTGTCCCCTCGCCTTTACAAAGCCCAGAGGACTGGAGCCCTTGGTGTCAGAAACCCTGGGCTTCAGTGGGAGTTGTTCCGGGAGGTTCCGAAGAGTGGGTTGTAGCCCCTGGCCAGAAATGCCTCCTGGGTTTGGAGTTCGGTCAACTTACAAGGAGCCATGCGCTTTGAAGATGAATGCTCTCATCTTTCAGTGTGTGGACAGATTGCAAGCGCTTTTGAGGTCGCTCCCAGGATCACAGAGCAGGAATTGTCACCCTCGTGGAGAGTCATTTCCCTGGAAGTGGGTTAGTGAGTCCACGTCTAACTGCCAGCACATCAAGCCCTAGCACACCTGGGGATGTAGTGGGGCATTTTACACAAGCAGGTGTGCTAGTGCAAGCTTAAATCTAGAGCCTGGGCTACAAAACCACTAAAGGTTGGTTTTAACAGTTTGTGAGTGGTCAGCCAACGCTGTCACTTTTGCAGACATGAGCCACCTTGACTGGTTCTGCCAGAGTAGCTGGAAGCAACTCCAAGTGAAAAAAATGGGGTGTGGGGAGCAGCCATTTAGGAAAGCAACTGCCTGGAGCCAGGCTGCCGCTTTCCAGGAGCGGGTATCAGCTCCATCTGAGGGCCTAGTAGGAACTTGTCCACAGCCGGATCTCTAGGTGGACAGGCAAGACTGCAGTCAGGCCGTCCATCTCCTTTGGGCAGGGGCACTGCATCATGAGCAGTCTGCTGGACTGACAGGGAACAGTGCTCCCGTGCCAAGACACGGCCTGATGGAGCTGCTAGCCCACGGGGACCCCAGCCCCTTGTAGGAATTAGATGCACTCTGCAGAGTGAAGGCTGGGTTGGAATAGCCCACACCAGGATGAGGCTGGCACTGTGCCTAAGCTGGCATAGTATTCACAAGACCCTGAGTTCCATCCCTGCACCCTCCCGCAATCCCTAAAACCAAGGTTGACGCCCGCAGTGTGACCAGAGTCATGCAGGGAGTGTTTTGCAACCAGGCCCATGGCCCTTTGGATGGAGAGGACCCTCGTTCTCCCATGAAGAATAACTTGAGCACAGGCCCAGTTCTCTAGCATCTCCTGTGGCTTCAGCCAAGTCCCCTCTTAGCGAGAGAAAGGCAGACTGACATGACCAAACACCCTGGGTCTGCCTGACGCATTCTACGCCATGCTCAAGTTAGGTAATCTAAGCCCTATATGCAAGTGTAAAAATGTCACATGAAGTCATATGTAATTAATATGAGCTGATAATAAAAGGCTAATATGGGAAATACAGGTGCTGTCAAAAAGTAACCCATAAGACAATTCACAAATAAACATAATTCAGATAGGCACAGCAAATGGAGTCCTAAAAGTGTTACAGGATATGAAGTAAAATAAAATGGGGTGGGTTTTTACCAAGGTGCCCACAGTACAGAGAGACACAAACAGCTCAGTAAGGATGAACACACAATAGCAAATGAACACATCTCAGGGCATTTCAATCCAAGTGTGCAGAAAAGTATTCCACTAGACTGAATGTGGGCCAGCAAAGCGGCGCGGGAGACAAAGGAACTTGCCAGCAGCCTGAGTTTCTCACCCAGGACCCACATGGTGGACAGCGAGAGCTAACGCCCACAAGTCATCCTCAATCTACACGTGCACCGTGGCGCGTGCCCTTATGTGCACACCATGGTGTGTGCCCTTACACATGCACAAAATAAATGTAATAAAAAATAAGAATTTTAAATGGTGAGGGGCGCCAGGTGATGGTGGCACATGCCTTTAATCCCAGCACTAAGGAAGCAGAGATAGGCGGATCTCTGTGAGTTTGAGGCCAGCCTAGTCTACAGAGCAAGTTCCAGGACAGGCTCCAAAAAACTACAGAGAAACTCTGTCTCAAAAAAAAAAAAATGGTGAGGGCGAGGGGAAGCAAATCCTGCCTGTAACTAGCTTGAAACATTAACAACACTGTCACTCTGATGGCTCAGCGGTTAAGAGCACTGGCTGCTCTTCCAGAGGTCATGGGTTCAATTCCCAGCAACCATAACCATCTGTAATGAGATCTGGCGCCCTCTTCCGGCATGTGGGCATACATTCATACAGAATGTTGTATACATAATAAATAAATATTAAAAAACAAACAAACAAAAAAACACTGTCACTTTAGGGTCACCAGGCTGGGCAGTCTTCCTCAAGGCTCATGTTAGGTTAGCAGACAGCCTCAGCACCCAGCCTGCCTTGGGTCTGCTGGAAACTCCTACCCCAGGGAAGCTGCCTGGTGTCTTTGCTCTGGAGCCCATGTCTTCCTCTACCAGTAGAGGGCAGCAGCACCCTCCTCGCAGCACAAAGGCCGCCAGAGTCAGAGCAGGACGTGTATTTTCTGCAGAATAAAACACAGAGCACTTTAGCCTCCGTCCTGAACCTCAGTGTGGGAACAGTAGTTAGGGGCAGCCCTAACACCATTGCAGCCTGTTTCCAGTTGCTGAGGACGTAAGGGGTTGTAAGGTCCTGTGCTTGTTCTCTGAGGCAGGTGACTCGGATGGCCACTTCCTCTGTAGCTGGCATCTGGACAGACAGACCGAGCCATCCACAGACAGTTCACGCGGACTCTGGTGTCGGAGAATCCCTTTGTTTCACATTCATCTGGGAGAGAAAAGGATGGCTCCCAATTAAACACTGTGTTCCCAACACCTAGCATGCTGCATTTACACTTGTCAAGAGAGCTATTTTCAACTTATTTAGACATAGCCTTTTATCAGAATTTCTCCTTTGCATACTTAACTAGGAAAATAAGACAGAAACAATTAGTTCTGACTTTTTTGTTTGTTTTTGGGGGGCAGAGCCTGTCGATTCAAAGCTCTGCTGTGATCAGGCATACCCACAGTCAAGCTCACAGGGCCTTGGGACAGGGTGAGTGGGTCCCCACTACTGTCCCTGCGGTGGCATTCATCCTGCAAGTTTCTGTGCAACAAGGCTGGACTTATGCCGGCCGGGGCCACAGTCAAACACCCTAACTGCAAAGGCTACACAATATGAAGACAGCCTCCACCCCAGCACTGGGTCTGCAGCAGAGTGAAGGGGGGGTATGTTGTGCGTGTGTGCATGTGTGTGTGTGTAGCTGTGAATGCACTCAGGTGCACAGCTCTGGATCTGCAG